TTAAGTTAAACTTACTAAATGCATTTTGAATTAAAATCTTTTAAATATATATTGAATGATTTATAAAACTTTTATTTTAATATTTACTTTAATTCAGGAATTTTTAACAATTTAATTTTTTTCCAAAAAAATTCAAAGCTTTCTTTAAAATTTTCTGTAATACCAGAATTATTTATAAAGATTGTTATAATATATATTTCAAGTGAATCAAACCAAATTTTCCTTTTATTATTACTTTGTTGACTATCTATTTTATCAGATGTTTTCTTATAATTTTGAATATTATTTGATTTAATAATTGATATTTGGTCTATTATAATCATATGTATTATTTAAAGAAAACTTTTCCAATTTTATAAAAGGTAAAAATACTATGAAAAATGGGCCAAGTATTTCATAACTTTTTGTCAATTGTAAATATTTCAAATAAATTATTCTAAATGGAACTTTTTCATTACAAAATTCTACATAAATGGAGCAAATAGAATTAAACGCGTAGGTTGTAATACCCTCAGGAATTTTAGTATCATATTTTAACTTTAAGTTCACCCAAATTCTCGATTTAATAATATCATAAAAATTCCAATAAATCGGTTTTCTTGAGATCCCTTTCTGGCTTGATTGCATGAATAAGACAAGAACTTGTAAGATCAGATTTTGATATTTTATGATTTACTTGAGATGAATTTTGAATCACTTGGAATGAATTCATTAAGAGATCACCGATTTCATTTAATCTATGTTCGAATAAGTGTAATACTTCTTCTATAACGTAAGAAGTTAGTTGAAATCCAAGTTTAATCAGATCTTCAAAACGAGCAACGATAATCTGCACATTAGGACATTCCCAATGAATTGGTGGAGTTGGTGGGAAAAAATCAATAGCACCTTGCATTACAAGTTCATTAACATCGCTACAAATTTCGTAATAATCAATTTCCTTCCACAACTTTACCAAGTCCGGATGAATTAATATTGCTCTAGCCACTACATTAAGTTGGCGGCTGTTCTCAAAACCATCTTTTGGTGGATATTCTTCATGGGATCTGGCTTGCATTAATTGAACATATTCTACAGAATCTTCGTATTTAAGTTTTCTGCGTGGAGGAAAGAGGACAAATTTCTTTTTCAAAATCAAGTCCTTAATTTGATTAAGATTTCGACGAAGCTTTTCAGGTGCTTGATTATTTACAAGAGGACCAGCTGTTAAGAAATGAAATAATTTCATATCATTCCCTTTAATTGCAAGTTCTTTATCATTTAAAATAGTATAACCCTCAGTAATTAATTTGGTGAAAATCG